GATCACTTTCCTCTTTGGCCCCATAATCTCCTTGATCAGAAAATTTGGGACACTACTGAGTTACATGACGTTACAGTACAAGTTCTCATATGTCCTCAGTCTTAATTGACCTTTGAAGGCTAGGACCAAAATATTGGCTTTCCTTGTAGCCCTCCTTTTTCTCTAATTTTGGTCTGCAAACTTAAGTTGTTAACCCTCCAGAAGAGAAGTTTATTGTTATTACCATACAACTTAGGCTGTTAAGCTTAACCTCACTATGTGTCTGAATATCAAACATCTTAGGCCTAACATGGAACAGGTATTTTTCATCAAGTATTGATATGTTGAACTTTAATTCCCTACAGAATATGATGAAAAAACATTTTAAAATTAGAATATATTTTGAAGAACCAGTACTATTATGGATTACTAGACTCTTTTAGAATATTTTGCTGAGTTTACATACCTATAATATTCAAAGAACAGAACTGAACAAAAAAAGGGGATACAGATGAATGTCCATTTTGTATCTGTGTATTCAAAGTGGTTAGGATAGATATATAGTTACATTCTCTTAATGAATAGAGTGACTTGTTCTAATGGTGTTTGTAAATAGGATATCATGCCCGCATTTTGTACAGCAATTAACCACTAGGAAGAATGTATGCAATGTGTTAATTATTGAAACTGTCCTAACAATTTGGTTTGAAAGCCTCTCATTGCTATTTGTTTATCAATAAAATTATGGGAAAAATAGGCATAAAAAATTATATAGTTCTTATGTTTACACATAGGCCCAAAAATCTACAAGTTTGAAGCAGGACAGTCCTACAATATTCCTTTTCCTGTCTCTTGCCTTCCTTCACCACCACCTTCTTTTTGAACAATCATCTACCCGAGAGACAGCACAGCAGCAACTGGCATGTCATGAGAAGCAGCCCATATTCAAAAGACCAGAATGACAGGCACAGCAAGCATAAAACTACTATTACAGATTACCATCTTCAGAGCAGTTGCTTAGTTCACAGGTATCAGTATATATAGTTAGTCAGGGTGAGAATCTTTCCAATTAACTGCTAGATTCAAAAATGTTCTGGAGATTCTCAGGATCATTGCCTTGCCCATCTTCTACATATAACTGTGTGGCTTGACATTGTCATGTTTCCTACCTCCTTTTCCTTCCCTCTCTTGATTAGTTAGTCTTCGAGTTCCTGCTTTCCTTTTACTTGTATTAACCTTTCTATTTGTATTTCTTCTTTGAGTTCTTATACTAGGGAAACTATACGATATTTACACATGTATGTCTGGTTTATTTCACTTGTGAGAATATGTTCAAGTGGCATCCACTTCAATATAAAGGCTTCGAGTTTACCATTCTTAATAGCTGAATAATACTCCATTGTGTAAAAATACCACATCTTTTTCAATCATTCCTCAAGTGATGGGCATCTTGGTTGTTTCCAAGATTTGGCTATCACAAATTGTGCTGCTATAAACATAG